AGATGTTAGATTTACCTCCCGTTTCTGGCAGAAGTTCCACGAGGAACTGGGCACGCGGCTGCATTTTAGCACAATATTTCATCCGCAGAACGACGGTCAAAGCGAGCGGACCATTCGGACCCTCGAGGATATATTGAGGGCTGGTGTCATCGACTTCGGTAGAAGCTGGGATTCCCACCTACACCTTGCAGAGTTCGCCTACAACAACAACTATCATTCCAGCATTGGCGCCCTGCCTTTCGAGTTGTTGTATGGTTGGAGATGTCGCACCCGGGTTTGTTGGGGTGAGGTCGGACATAGGGTGATGGGGCGGACAGAGGTAGTCTTGCAGACTACCGAGATGATTCAGCAGATTAGGCAGTGGCTGCAGACCACTCAGAGTCGGTAGAAGAGTTACGCCGACAGACGCTGATCCGAGTTAGAGTTCCAGGTCGGTGAAATGGTACACCTGAAGGTCTCGCCCTGGAAGGGTGTGATCCGCTTCAAGAAGAGGGGGAAATTGGGTCCCCGATATGTTGGGCCATTCAGGATTGTGGCCGGGGTTGGCAAGGTGGCATACATGTTAGAGCTACCGGAGGAGCTCAGTCGGATCCACAACACCTTTCACGTTTCGCAATTGCGGAAGTGCATTCTGGATGAGGAGGCAGTGGTATCATTGGATGAGATTTAGGTTGATGAGCACCTGAATTATGTTGAGAGGCCCGTGGCCATTCTAGAGAGGAAGGTGAAGGTGTTGCGGAACAAAGAGATACCTTTGGTAAAGGTACGGTGGGAGCACCAAAGAGGGTCTGAGTGGACGTGGGAGCCGGAGGCGGAAATCCGAGTGCACTATCCAGGGTTGTTCACCGCAGCAGACTTTGAGGATGAAGTCTAGTTCAAGTGGGGGATAATTGTAATACCCCGACTCTCAGGCGATAATTTTATGGCTTTAATTTTCATAATTTCATGGTCTACTCGGCGAGTTGGATGCCCTGACTCGTCGAGTAGAAGCGGATTGGGCCACGTTTTAAGTGACCTACTCGCTGAGTCCAAGATAGGACTCACCGAGTAGGAGTTGGAGGATGAAACCCTAATTTCCGGGGTTTTTCACCCTATTTAAAAAATCATAAGCCTCCTTTAGCCCCTTACAGCCTCTTGAGAGTCCAGCAAACCCTAATCTGTGTGTGTGCTTCATTCTTCTGTGTTTTAAGCTTTGGAAGGTGGATCTTAGTGAGAAGCGATTGGAGAGCAAGTGGTTTTTCTAGCATATTATCAAGTTAGCATCTTTTGGGAGGTATCAAGTCATTACATTGACCCCATTTCCTTCTAGATCTCATTGGGTTAAAGATTAGGGCTTTTCTAGCATATTATCAAGCTATTCTTAGGTATGAACTAAGATCTGAAGTTGTAACTTCATATCTGAACTCTCTTTGGTCTCTAAGTCCATAAAGCTTTCAGCTTTAGCAAGTATGAACCTCTCCTTAAGTGTAAAACTCCATTTCAAGCTTGGTTTTCACATTATACGACTTTAGAGCCTTGCATGCACGTAAAGTTTGCAACGTTACGTGATAAACATGCCTTGGGAAGCTGGATCTGCAATATGGAACCTTAAAATGGCTTAATAAGCATCTAAATGGATAATGGACTGAAGGGACTCGACGAGTTGCATGGTCAACTCGGCGAATCCGACGAAGATTATCGTGCATGGACTCGGCGGGTCAGTGGGGTGACTCGGCGAGTCAACTGGGGTTTTACCGACTTTTGGACACGCATGGACTCGGCGAGTTGCAGGGAAACCTCGACGAGTCGGTGGGGGGATATCACGACTGGTCGAGTTCTGGAAGAACTCGACGAGTCAGTGACTGCACTCGACAAGTCGGGTCAAGATGGACTGTTGACCTTAACCGTTGGCTTTGACATTGACCAAGGGTTGACTAATATACTTCTGGGGCATTCTGGGAAATTGGAAATTTACAAGTATGTTTCTATGGTGAATATAGGTGGTGGAGTTTGTGACGGTGATCTGAGAGTTTGAGCTTATCTTTCGAGTCGACAGTTCCGAGGTGAGTTATCCTCACTATACTAAGGGGGTCTAAGGCACCAAGGCAAGCCCGTTGGATATGATATCCTAGAAGTTTGTAGTATGATTAGTGTGAGTTAGTGTTGCATGTTAGTTGCTATGCCAGTTAGGTAGATCTGTAGGACTACCTGCAGTATTATGTGATTATCTGTATGTGCATTAGTTGTGTTATATGTCGACATATTATGTGGGATGGGTTGAGGTGATACTGCTCCGTGCGGTAACCGACAAACCCGGGAGCATTCTAGATACAAGTTGAGGGAGATTCGTACTGTGGGCTCGATGGCAATCCAGATGTGAGTTGTGGGCCTGGAAGGCAATCCAGACTCACACTGTGAGCCCAGGGGTAATCCAGTCTGTAAAGCTATGGACCAACACATGCTGTTATTTATATATGTGTTATGTGCAGTGTATCGGTATTTTGGGGGAAGTCACTAAGCTTTCGGGCTTATAGTTTTCTGTTTATTTTTTCAGGTACATCAGGGGATCGCGACAAGGCAAAGGCGTGATCGTATAGGTCCTCATGTTTTGTTTATTTTTCTGGGAAAACTCTGATATTATACATTTTGAAAACAAGTTTTAATGATTTAATGGTTTTGAAATGTTTTTAAAAGTTCAAATTTGGCATGATTTTATGGTGTTACAACATTATTTGTATTTATGTGTCTACTCAAAGAGAATGTCATTTTTATTGTAGACTATCCATTAATTGTTTATTAAACATATTATATAAGTTATAAAATCTTTCATGATGTGTGGCTAATTACGTTGGAGGTGAAAAGGTGTAGGGGTTTCAAATGCATGAGGTGCTTGAAAATTTGTGTGGGAGTTTCAAATGCATGAGGTGATAGGAAAAATGTCTCATTTATAAGTATAATATGATATAGATATAGAGTTGAGTACGTGTGTGTTGCGCAAAACACAAAATATATTTGAAACCTTTACAAATATTGTTTTTCAAATATATCAATGACGTTGTTGTTAGCAGTTATATAATAAATCTTATAATTAATATGTCGGTATAAACATTGTTTTTTTGAATGATATGATAATGTAGACATCTTTTAAAATTATATAATCGTAATTGTCTCAATGGCCTTTACCTGCATATTACTCATGAATTAAATAAAATAAAATATATTGTTTAATGATATTTATAGTTGTTGTTATGATTAATTAATTTTAAAAAGTTTATTTGCTTAAGATTATAATTACTATTATTGTAATTATTTAAAACATCAAACGTTTTTTTAAAGGTAACAATATAACTTTTGTATATAATGTTACTTTTAACTTTTGTTGTTGTAAGTTATTTAAAATAACGTATTTGTAAACTGTTAATTATTTTAATTTGGTTTTAGAAATTTAACTTTTTTAAAATTTATTTGATGAATATTATTAGTTTCTTTCATTGTAATTATTTAAAACAACAAACATTATTTTTGTAAGATAACATTATAATTTTTTTATATAATATTACTTTTAACTATTATTATTGTAAATTATTTTTAAAATATTTATTTGAAAATTCTTAATGATTATAAAAAATAGTTTCTTGGTTTTTTTGTTAATTTACGAGTACAATTTAGTTTTAACACTATAATTTATAGCTTTTAACCATTTATAAAATAGTCTCTCGTTTTTTTCAAGTTTAACTGAAATTTTGATTTAAGTTAACCGTTTAACATTATATTGAAATTAATAGTTTACCTATTTTTCATAAAATCATAAATTATTTAAAATGACAATTGCTAACACATGTCAACATATTTAAACTAATAAGTTAACAACAATATGTTAAAATATTAAAGTCATAATTTTATAAATATAAGTAAAATATGAGATATTAATATTGTAGTTTAGTAAATTTATGATTAGGATTTAGTTTGTATATTAATTTAGCATTATTAACCAATTTATAATAATTATTAGAAAGAACATGTAATGAAAGTAAAAATGTCTCTTATATATATATATATATATATATATATATATATATATATATATATATATATATATATATATATGAGGATTTCTACCTTACACCCTTTCCAAAATTTCTTGACTTGAGCATCTGAACGTCTCAACCTTTAAACCCTAGTTTAACCAATTTATAATAATTATTAAAAAGAAAATGTGATGTAATGAAAGTAAAAATGTCTCTTTCATATATATATATATATATATATATATCTATATATATCTATATATATATATATATATATATATATATATATATATATATATATATATCTTTATACCTTAATAAGCATTTATCCCTAAATGCTGAATTTTAAGAGATATAAACATTACTGCAATATGTACAAACAATTTATGCATTAACAAATAATAAATCTTATCCGTAAAAAAAAACAAACTAAATCTTATTTGTTCAATTGAAAAGGATGGGCATTGAATCAGTATTACTCGCTTTTACCCTATTGATACGGTCAAACACGAGGTTTATAAACAATCTTCGATGTCAGTCATTTAAAACTCCTCTGCGGATGACTCTTGATTCGGTCCCCAACCTGTCTTACAAGCTACCCACTATGTCGCTTTTTCTTCCGCCTTATAATACTATACCTTTGTTAATCTTTGCCATTTATATAACCGTCTCCCCACAACCAATCTTCTTCTCCATTTCAGTATCGTCGCACCACCTCTCTCTTTAATTCTACAAACGAAACGCTACCATCATCGACTATCACCTACACTATTATCATTGGCTACTACCTCCACCATCATCTCACTGTCTTCGGCCAGCTTCCAACAACAAACCACAACACTCTCTTTTGTTCCTTCTTATCTATCTCTGTATCTCTCTCGAATAGCATTGCATCACCTCGATTTAGGGTTTTATTTTTCTGATTTGGTACCATCATCTAACTCCCTATTTAATGGTGCATGGTAAAGAAATGAGTTTTTTTTCTTTTCTTAAATGGTTCTGTTCTTGCTGCTTCTTAATGGGTTTTTTTCTTATGGATTTAGGGTTTATGGTGTGGCTAATGATTCACCACAGTTACAGGATTTAGTGAAATCAGGGGAATTTCGATCGGCCATGGCTACAAAAGTTTGCTCAATCAAGGACTCATGGTTCAGTTTTCTCAATTTTTACAAGTGAGTTCTTACTATTTATAGATTTCTATCTCCTCTCTTAATCTCTCTCTTAATTTTGATTTTTTTATCGAATATATGGCATCATTCCTGAGAGATTTCTGCATAAATATTATTCTTGTGCATGTAAGTTCATTTTCATTTCATGGAAGTTTGAGGGACCGTTTCTATGTGTGTATTCAACCTTTCAGTTTTTCTTTTTGTTTTATCGAAGGAGATGTGGATACAGTAAGAGGCCCTGGAACTAGAGGGAGGAGAAGGAGATGTTGACAAATGGATATGAAAAAAATATGCTTCAAGTATTTATTGTGTTCACATGAAAAATCTTTTTTAATTGTATCCATGTACTACAAAAAAAGACCTTAAATTTCCATTCCAACACTTCTAGAGATCTAAGGGGTACAACCGCCATTTAATTTGGTCTTTGTTATTAGCCGGGATTAAAAGCAAATGGTAGTGTTCTAATTTCAATCCACCACTTTGACTAACTTGTGGTTAATTTTGGTGATTTTTTTTTGTTTTGGGTTTATAGAGATAAGGTGAAACGGGGACAAGAAGGGTAATTCAAAACCATGTACAAAAATACACTACAATGCTCTTGGAAGGGATCTTACTGATATTTCAAAGTAATACATGAACGAATCTACTATGGATGTTTGTTACCTTCTGCTACACTTGTAATTAGGTATTTGTTCTTGATGTGTAGTTGGGTTTTATTTGGTCATTTTATGTTACTTCTCTCTTATTTGGCTTTCTTTTATTTAGAGTTCTTACATAACATTTAAACCATTATCTGTTGGTAGTGGTTGGAATTTAATTTTTTATTCTTTTTTTCTAAATGGAATGTTGATTTGTATGTTTTCTCATTCTTTGTTCTATTGATTATTTACATTTATGGTATCAACAGTTAGAAATACATGATTATTTGATTATCAAATGCATAAACTAACTTGTATCAGTTTCCATGTTTGTAGGAAGTTTGGCTTTTACTGTGTTTTTAATTCCATTGGTGGAGATGAGTTAATCATTATAGAAGAATTTTCCAGAAAAGCACAAAGCACATACCTCTTTCAAATACCATCTGGTTCTTTCCTTTGTGACATCAGTTTAGGCATTATGTTGCCACTGCCACCTTATTTGGACATAAAAACTCTGCTCTTGCACCAATTTATCTTTATGACCTCAATCCAATCAAGTCAAAAGTCTAGGTAATCATTCTTTATTTCTAATATTGTATTACCATGGAAATTACTAGTTATGTTTTTAATCCAATTACATGATGGTTCAACTGTCAAGTTTTTTATTCTACTGCCTTAAAAAAGCAAGCTTGAAGGAAGTCATTAACTTAAAGTGTATGATAGGGATAAGTTTATCCTTCTGATTGTAGTTGCACTACTAAATTGGTCTGTGATTAATGTGCGTCAGGCATAAATTGTATTTGTGATTTGATTTTACCTCGATATATTTTCATGGATGTTTGATTAACTAATTGAAATTGTTGTGTTGTTTTCCAGGATATATACCAACAACATATCAAGAGGTGCACTAAATGAATGATAAATTTACCTATAAAGTAAGGTTCTTCTTTTTCTTTCTCCTTTAAGTATTTTCTAAAAAAATGACGTTTAACAAGTATCCCGAGTAAATGAAAAACTCTTCGGGAAATACAAAGATTCATATTCATATGTGAGTAAGATTGGTTTAGTTAGTCTAACGTCTTACTCTTACAGACTATTTATATGTGTCTCTGGTTGTGCAACAATCCGATACATACCGATTATTCGACTTCTAAAAACATGATAATTGCAAGTATGTATCTCCTAGGGGTAAATTTGTTGCCATGAACCCAAGGGTCAGCTGCGAATAAATTGTAGCCTCCCACAGACCATGGATAATGTCTTTATATATATATATATATATATATATATATATATATATATATATATATATATATATATATATAATGAATTTGTGCAAGTGCGTAGTTGTTTGCTTTAGAGACAAATTATGAGAGGTCGGTTATCTTTTACGTGATTACGTTTTAGACCCATTTTACATATATATTCACCACGTAAACCTTTTATGAGTAATGATATTTTTTGTTGCAAGGCAACGGTAAACATATTGCATTGGCGATGAGCAAGGAACTTAATTTGCAGAGTAGGCTCATTGTATGTCATTGCATCTTTTTACATGTATACAAACGATATGCTCTAAGCCACTTATTTAGTTTTGTAACCTACATAATCAAGAAAAGCAATATGAAAGCTATGATTATTTGTGGTTTTTGATTTGCAGATTGATCCTAACCAATATTTGGATTTTACAAATTCACGACTATATGTTACTTTAATGCCACCATTGATGCAAAAAGGTTCAATTTGGATTATGTGTTTGAATACTAACTAAACATAATGTATTTATATTAATTGAGTTGGTTAAAAAATATTATTAAAAAAGCTTTAGATTTTTATGTTACAATGTAAAACTTTCCACTTCTACAACCTACAAGTGGTTAGGTTTTACGAAAATAAATGTTAGTGGGTTGATTTTTAAATTTTAATTTATTCAAGCTAAAATGTAAAAAAAAAATATTTATTTATATTATTTTTAGTAAATAAAAATTAAAAAAATCATTAATAATACTTGATCAATGAAACCGGAATATATAAGTTTACCAATTTAACGTTATACCTTCTTATATTAATAAAATTGAGATAACACGTTTATCAATTTTTATCATTATGAATTGAAAAAATAGAGATAATATGTTTGATAATATCAATGATTTTATGTCTATAAAACTAGTTAACAAACTTGACATGAAACCATTATGTTTTTTGTTGCTAAACAAATAAATATGTATAAGATCAAATGCTTCAACTACGAAGACCATATGTTTGTATTAATAAATCACTTTCATCAATCGTATAGTAAAGTGATATTTTTATCAATAACTAAATACTCCAAACATTGAAAATTTCTTACATAATGTCACATTCAAATTTCTTGGTCACAAAATATTGTCAGTTAACAAAAAATAAACAAATTGGTGAAAGAAATTATATGTTGAAGGAAAATGCTTGTCGTCCACTAATCACATACAATTTATCGACCAAAAATAAAGTATCGATGAGATTAATGATTATTTAATCAACTGATACGGTGGAGAAGAGAGAATTTCTACAGTTTTGATGAAGCAGAAAATGATAGAAATAACTTCTATCTGGTGGAATTCTTAAACTCATTCACTGTTAGTGGTTTACCCCATCACTACCTTCGGTAAAAAGTCGGATGCCCAATAATATTGTTACGAAATATTGAACCTTTAAAATGTATTGTGTAACAGCACAAAGATTAACATGCAAAAGTTTTGAGCACAATGTCATTGAGGCGGAAAATCGATTCTAGAAGATATATACCTACATTTGAAGTTGTTTGTCCCTGAACTTTATTGGTTGCCATCGCGAAACATAACCGCATTGGAAATTGTTTTCTCTTTAGCTTGAATGGGAACATATCATGTAACACCCAAAAATTCAAGCCAATTTAAACTTTTAAAAACATTTCAAATTCATTAACTATTACAAACTTGTTTTCAAAATGTATCATATCAGAGTATCCCAGAAACAAAATCATAAAAAGTGAGGAGATGTACGATCACGCCTTCGCCTTGCCAGGATCCCCTGAAGTACCTGAAACAATAAACTGAAACTGTAAGCCCGAAAGCTTAGTGAGTTACCCCCAAAATACCGATACACATACAGTTTACATAACAATGTCAGCAATATCATATCATAACAAACTGAACAGAACAACACATGACGGGTCCACAGCCCTACAGACTGTAATACCCACGAGCCCACGGTACGAGTCTCCCTCAGCCCGTAACTGGAATGCTCCCGAGCCTACAGTACGAGTCTCCCTCAGCCCGTAACTGGAATGCTCCCGAGCCCACAGTACGAGTCTCCCTTAGCCCGTAACTGGAATGCTCCTAGGATTTGTTGGCTACCGCACAAAGCAGTACAACCTCAACCCACCCCATATGACAAACACATAAATCATAAGAATCGAGCATGCAATAACCATATAACATCACAGGTAGTCCTACAGACCTACCTAACAGGCATAACCACTAGCATACGACACTAAGTCAAACTCAGCATCTAACACAGCTCAAGATAACATATCTAATGGGCCGACCTTGGTGCCTTAGACCCCTTAGTATAGTGAGGATAACTCACCTGGCACTACTGAAGTCCCGCAGATACAACCCCAGCTGCTGGTTGACATATTCCCGCACTGTCAACATAAAACAATACCTAATTAATAATTGGGTTCCAAGCCCAAGGTCTAACTCACACCACAAAAGCCCAAAAGTAAAATAATGGGCCAAAGTCCAACATATGACCCAATTTTCTAAATTGGGCCCAGACCTCTACATGGTCTTTCCTTAAGGCCCATTCGATTCTTCCAATCCAATTCCCATAGCCCATTATCACATAGTCATAAAGGCTCAATTATGGCCCAATTTTCCAAATTGGGCCCAAGTCCTCACATGGGCCTTATCCTAAAGCCCATCTACTTATTTTGGTCCATTAACTTGTTCTTGGATGGCCCACCAATAGTCCAATCGCCAAAGACCAATAGGAAGGCCCAAATCAAGGCCCGAGTGAGATTAGGGCTTTCACATGAAATGATGATCAGGGTTAAGTGTTTCTTACTTAACCCATTAAGGACTTAATCCATTAAGTCCATTATTGCCTTAAGCTACTTTGTCAATGATTATTAATTATTATTTTAGGTTTAGTAATTAATTTCTCGTGTGTCCCAAATGATTCCCACAATTAGGGTTTTATGCCCTTAGGATTTTCCAAACCCTAATTAGGTTTTTTCCAACCCAATATTAGCCCATTAGTCCATTGGTTGGGCTTTTAGGTCACTTTGGGCCTCATTGGGCCCGCTAGGGTTTTATTAGGTCAATTAGGGTTTCCTTGGGCCCATTAGGGCTCCATTGGGCCCACTAGGGTTTCATGCATCCCAAACGAATCAACACAACAAAGTAAAGCACACCGCCACCAGACACGGCGGCCGGTGGCGGCAGGAGGCGGCAGCCACCACCTCACGGTGGTGGTTATGGATTTTTCTACTATTATTTTAGGCACCAAATACAATTTACAACTCAATCCAAATAAAACACACACACACATACTAATAAAACACACACACACAACCACCCTTGTGGTGGCCGGTGGTGGTATAGGGTGGCATAAGAGCAGCATCCGGCCGACAGCCACCATGGTTGGCTGCCATGGTGGCTCCAAACGTTTTCCAGCCAAAATAAACCCCGGAACAGTTACACCACCACCCACCTAGCGGTTCACGGTGGTGGCAGACGCATGGTGGTGACCATAAGGATGAAACCCATTAACAGCAATTCGGTCGGTCCTCCCTCGACCACATCGTCGGCCCCTATGGTTTTCCCTGGTTACGAACGACATCCGACGACTGGAGTTAGAAGAAGATAAGGCGGCGAAGGAGAAGACGCGAAGAGGGTGGCGGCTTCCACCGGAAATAGCACCAACGACGCATCGGGGCGAGTTCCTTCCGATCTCCCGCTGCCATGACGTCCAAAGGTGGTATTCGTCATCAACAGGTTGGCACAGCGGCGGCTCGGCGGTCGGAAACGCGAGGAGAACGGAGTGGTGGCAGCGGCGCAATCGAGCGGGGCCTGATCACAACGTCTTTGTCCACAACAGAGGTCCGTCGGCGACCTCGGTTGATCGGAGCAGCATGAAGAAGAGGGGATATGGCAGCTAGACGAGGGAGCAGAAGATGACGGTCGGAGGATGAAGAGGGAGTGGGGTGTCAGCTGTTACATCCCTTAGGGTTAGGGTTTAGAGGCTTACGATATATACCCGCCTCACATAAAACTTCTTCCCATATTGACACAACCCGCCCCTCCTTCTCCTTTTCCTTTCATTTTAAATCTCAAATTTACCTTTTAGTCCCCAGCTTCCAAAATCTTTTCAATCTAAGCCCAATATTTACAAAACAACCACCGTCTTCAGAAATCCTTACAAAATAAATCTTGAACTTACACTTTAACCCCTGAAGACTCAATCCTTGTCATTTGGCTTCCCGAAACCAACACCCCGCTAATTATTATTATTTAATTTGAGCTATAATAATATAAAATAATAATAAAATTTACCTCTCGGTTCCGAGTTTATTAATTAATTACTCTACTTTATACGGGATGTTACATATCATCTTTAGACAGGCATGGAGGAATCCTTGGCAAAACTTATCTATTTGGCATTATCCAGAGGGATATCACGTGTCAATACAAAAATATTAGTAAAGCTTGATAAACAATTCAACGACAGTGAAGTCTATACATCAAATGAGTTCATGTATATTTGTAAATAATTCTAACTTTTCATGTTTTAATTCTTATTGATTTCGTTTCTGCTAACTTGTCCCTTATTGATATTGTTTAGATGTAGTAAACTATTTGTACAAAAACACTAATCGCCTCTAGAAATTAATTTCTTAAAGAAATTATTCGCACCCGTCGCTTTGCGCAGATAAACGGCTAGTATATATATATATATATATATATATATATATATATATATATATATATATATATATATAAGATATGAGGTTTCCTATCTTTCACCCTTTCCAAAATTTCCTAATGCACTTGAACGACTCAACCTTTAAACCCTAGTTTTCGCAGAAAATTTAGATCTAAATATTCTCGAATAGAGAGGGGAATGATATCAGTTGATCGGTGGGGTGAAACTTCTTGGGGGAGCTATTAGTAGAGATGCTAGTTTCATTAGCAGCTTAGCCATAAAGAGAGCTGAAAATGATGTGAATTTCATGGGTCTTCTCCCACAATTGTCTGACCCGCATGGTGAGCTCCTTCTACTTTGGTCTTGTATGGGTATTACTAAACTTTTGTTTAGGCTGAGGACATGCCAACCCATTCACATGGAGGATGCGGCGTTGTTATTTGAAAATAGGTTGCGCTGGGCGATTGAGGACATTGTGGTTTGTGGTGGCCCTTTCTTTGGTGACATATGGTGGCGAATTGCTTCCTTACCCATTAGGTTTGGTGGCTTGGGTTTATACTCGGCAGTAGAGACTACCTTGTATGCTTTTGTTGACTCAAGGGCCTAAGCTTCGGTATTGCAAGACCATATCTTATGGGATAGAGGAATATATGATATGGATTATGATTATTCTTGTGCCTTAGCTTCTCTGCGTAACAAGCTTCCAGACATTGACCTTAGTAGTTTTATAACAAAGGACACCGCCATCCTTAAATCCCAGAATACACTGGCGACTACCCTTTTTAGTAAAATTATCCAAGATATGAAAGTGCATTTTAACATGACGGCTCGACAGAAAGCAGTTTTCCAGTGTTTACGTGCACCACATGCTCAAGATTTTCTTCTAGCTATCCCTATAGATCGGCTTGGCCAACATATGTATCCTATGGAGTATCGCACCATCCTCAAATATCGTCTCATGATTCCAATATTACCAACTGACGAGATATGTTCGGTGTGCCGCAAGGCTTGTTTGGAATCTTTTGGAGAGCATGCAGTTCATTGCAAAGATCCCAGGGTTCAAATACAGGCACGATAAGGTTAAGGATGTTTTGGTCGACATATTTAAGTGTGCTAGGGTTCTGCCAAGAAAGAGGGTCCTGTGAATTTTTTGACTGACCCGATAAAATGAAGGTCAACCCTTAGACCGGTTGGCATTTTGATTTTTGAATGGGTTGAAGGGAAACACGTATGGGTGGATCTTATAGGGGTATCCCATCTCATAGGCTTGACGGCTTGGGGTTTCACAGCGGGATAGACTGCATTAAAAGCTGCTACATGCAAGGTCACTAAACATGAGAAATCGTGCATGGAAAATCAACACGTCTTCATACCATTGACATTTGATACATTTGGTTTCCTTGGACTGGATGCGGTAAAGGTTCTTAATAGAGTACAATAGATAATGCATAACAATGTTATATCCCCTAGATCTATGGATGTAGTCTTCAAAAGAATTTGTTTTACCATACAGAAAGGCTTAGCGGCACAACTTGTTGCCCATTTTCCTTCTCATTCATTGTACTATGATAACTAAGATCGTAATTTAAATGTTAAAAGGTTTGATAAAAAAAACCATCACGTCGATCATTCCGTTGGTTTGTTGTCTCGATGGAAGAAAGGTCCACTATTCTGCTCTCCCATTACTGCTAAGCTTTTCTATCTCAAATTCCCCGGTTTCGACCTCTCATTGCTTCGAGTTCTCAAAATTGGACAATGGTAGTCGTTATCTTTGGTTTCCTTGTGGTCTCGCTTGGAAACTAGGGTTGAAGTTCTAGCCATTATGCCAATCATTGCTCTGGTAAGCCTGTTTTGGATTTTATATAGTTCATTTCTAATAACTTGTTTAATTTCGATTTCTGAATAAATTTTGTTTGCTATTAAATGAATGCATGATTATTTTGTAGTTTATACTTGAAGCCACTTAGTGAATTCCCGTTAAAACTTAGTAGTGGTGAACTATGCAACTGAATGGATCATAATGCATTTTGGGAGTCTGGATCATTTAGTTTAGGGAGGAAGATTTAGGGCGTGTTCGAGACGGAGTGTTTGAGAGCTTCTAGCTTCTAGCGTTTGACAAAACGCTCCGTTTTGAACAGAAAGCCTCATTTGGCACTGCAAGCTTCTAGCGTTTAGTTTAAACAAAAAACTCCAAATCCAAATGCTACTTCACGTAGTATTTAATAAAACGTTACAAGCTACAAGCAACCCGCTACAATTTATCCGCTACCAGCTATTTTTGCCAAACACGCCTTTAGTAGTTGAAGTATATCTGATTTTGAATTCCATTTTCTTCCTCTTAAAGTGCTTCTTTAATATGCCTGAACTTTTTGACTATTTTCATTTGAGGTTTCTTTGACAGATAAATTGAATAGTTCTGCTTGCTGATAAATTGAAGTTTTGTTTAGATAGGCTTTAAACACCCATACTTGAATCCATAAATTTAGCCACTTTATCCTTTCCCTCACTATCTCCCTTCATATATCAAATATGTAACTGATGTGAGTTCTTGAGTTTCTCGTATAGATTGATATGGAACATTTGTATTTAAAAGTCCTGTTGCTGCAGAAACTAATTTACCAATTTCTTTTCAGCCTAAAGTTTGCTTTTTGACCTTGTTCTTGTCGCGGATTTTAAATATATAATGTAATGTCTGTTAGTTTCTATTTATTATTTTTGTATGTGGTGGGTGTAGTTATGTATCTATTCCGAGGTGATTTTGGGAAAATGCTTTACACTGGTGATTTTCGTTGGGAAGTAACAAGTAAAATTACAGAGATAGGAAAGAACATGCTTCTTAGTGCTCTCAACAATCATAAAGTGGATACCCTTTACATAGATAACACTTACTGCAACCCATCATATTCATTTCCATCTCGGGAAGTTGCTGCTCAACAGGTGATGTGTTTTGTACTTCTGTTATTATTATTAGAGTAAATTACAAAAATTGTCCCTGAGTTTATCTGATTTCTTGCAATTTTGGTTCCAAAAAGTTTTCTCTTGCAATTTTGATCCTTATTTGAGTTAATATATGTTATTGTATTTAATTTCAAATTATAATATAGGATGCTTTTTAGGACCATAATCTAATTGAAAAATCTTATATCTGGAGGCGGTGAATATCATCAACTCTTATCCTGAGCATGACATCATCATTGGCATAGACTCATTAGGGAAAGAGGATTTATTATTCTACATCTCAAACACGCTGAAAGTAAAGGTAATATTCACTATTAATCATATAGTTTCCTTATCATGTCAACAACATATGTTAGGATCAGGATCAAATTGAGTGCATGCATCTTATGCAGATTTGGGTGTGGCTGTTGAATAAACTTCTTCACACTAGGTACCTTATGCACTAAGGTAACAACAAGTAGAGAACGGAAAATAAGAAAGAAATGAGAACAGAGAATTAGCAACAAAATCTAAAAAAACAAGGGAATGAGAAGATTGCTTGGAGTCTAAATATTATTGGCTTAATAAACTATTAGACTAGGAAATTCATTATTGTAAACTATGTGGTACCAAAGTGTAAATTGTGTATCTATATATACATATTATTAATGCAATATACGGAGAGAGTTTTTTGGCCAAATTCCATTATGGTATCAGAGCGCTAATTACCCTAGCCGCACTATTTTTTTCCCCTTTCTCCTAAAACCTTTAATCACACATTCTCCCTGTCGCATCTCCTTCTTCTTCTTGTTCTTCTTTTCTTTTTTTTTTTCTTTTTTTTTTCCATCAGCAACCTTCAGTACCTGTCGATTTTCTCCTCCTATTCTCATCAATTAATGGCTTCATTACATCCTGCTGTTACTGTCACAAACATCAGGAATTTCATCCCAATTATTCTGGAGATGGATGACGGGCAATACACATCATGGGTTGAATTATTCAAGATTCACTGTCGGGCACACAAAGTCATTCATCATATTCTACCGCAGGAAGCTTCTCGCTCTAAACCTGCAACAGATAAAGATAAGGAAAACGTAGATGCTGTGGCCCTTCACAAACGTCATGATTCCATTGTCCTCCAATGGATTTACAGTACGATTTCAAAAGATTTGTTAATTACCATTCTAAAACCTGATTCCACAGCAGAACAAGCCTGTAAATTGTTGGAAAACATCTTCATTGACAGTAAACCTTCAAGGGCGTTGTACCTAGAAAACAAGTTCAGCAATGTCAAATTGGAATCCTTCTCTAATGTTTCTGCTTATTGTCAAGAACTCAAAACCTTGTCTGATCAACTCACCAATGTTGATGCCCCGGTTTCTAATGATCGTCTAGTTCTTCAATTAATCAACGGGCTTGGAGACAAATTTGAAAGCCTTGCTACTATACTCCAACAATCTACACCTCTACCAGATTTCTACACCGCCCGATCAAAACTAATCCCGGAAGAAACCCGCAAGAATCATAATTTCAGCACCATCCTAACCGCAACCACCTCCAAGGCATCGACTGATACAGCAACAGCCGCCTTGAATACTCAGACAACAGCCACCACTGACCGACAACACCATCCACTGCCAACCGAACAACAGTACCGTAGTAGTAGTGTGCGCGGTCAGTTCCAACAGTTTGACTATGGTGGCAGGGGGCGGCACAATGGTAGAGGGGGTCGGGGACGCGGTCGGGGTCGCGGACGTGTAGCAAATTTTCACCAAAATTACTATCCGCAACAGCCAACAATCGGATGGAATGCCCCTTGGCAGCCACAACAATGGAACTTTCCACCCGCACCATACCCTACGAACCCGGTGAACAGTTATCAAAATAGAAATCCTAACTTTGCAGGTGTTCTTGGCGCTAATCCATATGGCTATGCAGCTTCAAAATCAAATACCCCGACCAACATTGACCAGGCGATGCATACTATGACATTAAACCCGGACCAGAACTGGTATCTCGATTCCGGTGCTACCAACCACATGTCGAATACAACAGGTAACATTTCCAATTATTTCAATAATCGTATACAAAACAATATCGTCGTTGGCAATGGTTCTCAAATACCCATCCATGGTACTGGTCACACAACCCTACAACCACCTTACCCTCCTTTAAAACTTAATAATATCCTTCATGCACCTAAACTGATCAAAAACCTACTTTCAGTTCGACGTTTAACAACTGATAACCCCATTTCTATTGAATTTTATCCTTTTGGTTTTCTTGTGAAGGACTACCAGACGTGGATTCCTATCCTTCGATGTGACAACACTGGAGAACTCTATCCCCTCTCACTACCTTCTGCTCAAGTCACACCACCTTTTACCTTTGTTGCTTTGACACAAGATCTTTGGCATAAGCGTTTGGGTCACCCTAGTTCATCTTTATTGAGAGTCTTAAATAAACGCAATTTCATTTCTGTTAAGACTTTTTCAGACAAACATTTATGTCAATCGTGTGTTTTTGGTAAACATATCAAATTACTGTTTTACGATTCCGTTTCTGTTACGTGTTTACCATTTGATATTATACATAGTGATTTATGGACCTCCCCAGTTCCTAGTTCAGGGGGTCACCGTTATTATATCCTATTTCTCGACGATTATACAAACTATCTATGGACTTACCCACTCACAAACAAGTCACATGTCTACTCCACTTTCTTAAATTTCTACAAGCTCATTAACACACAGTTTGAACGAGAAATTAAAAGTTTTCAGTGCGATAATGGAACTGAGTACAACAATAAGTCGTTTTATGATTTCTGTACTCAACACGGGATGGTTTTCAGGTTCTCTTGCCCTCACACATCCTCTGAAAATGGGAAAGCTGAACGAAAAATTTGATCAATAAACAACATTATTCGTACCCTTCTTACCCATGCCTCTCTACCACCAACTTTCTGGCATCATGCCCTACAAATGGCCACCTACATTCTCAACATCCTACCATCCAAAACCAAAAACAACTCCACCGCAACCCTACTTCTCTACAACAAACATCCCACATACACCCACCTAAGAACGTTTGGTTGTCTTTGTTATCCTCTTATTCCCTCTACTTCTATTCACAAACTTGAAAACCGATCAACACCGTGTGTATTTCTCGGGTACCCCTCCAACCATAGGGGGTATAAATGTTATGAACTCTCCACCAAAAAGATAATTATTTCTCGTCACGTTCTCTTTGATGAAAATGTTTTCCCATTCGCCAACCTTCACTCCTCGCCACCTTCCTATAACTTCCTTCACTTAAACCAATCCAGTGATCTTCATCCATGTATCTGGGAATCCGTCACCATTACCTCACCAACCCAAACGCCTCCTCCCATTCCTCCAATACCACAAACCAAAACCATCACCCCACCATAATCACCTGCTCACGCTCACGCTCAACCAACATCCACCCTCAAAACCTACACCCGTCGAAATAAACCAACAGAACCTCACCCCACCCCCTAACTGAAACCCAACTGCCCCTACCATCACAACCAACACCATCATCCACCGAGCTTGTCCCTAATCCACCACCACCACCTACCCGTACCATGTGCACACGTAGCATGACCGGCTCATCCAAACCCAAACAAATGTTTACTCTCCATACTTTTGCACCTTTCGAGCCACTCCCCCACACCACGACTAAAGCCCTTAACAATCCCATTTGGAACCGTGCCATGACTGATGAGTTTAATGCCCTTATTGATAATAATACATGGGAATTGGTACCGATGCGTCCAAACATGAACATTTTCAGGTGCATGTGGATTTTCAAACATAAAACCAAATCTGACGGATCACTTGAGCGTTACAAAGCGCGTTTGGTTTGTGATGGCAGGTCACAACAGGTTGGAGTTGATTGCGACGAGACGTTCAGTCCAGTTGTTAAACCGGCGACCATTCGAACAGTCCTCAGCATTGTGTTATCTCACCAATGGGAAATTAATCAACTGGATGTTAAAAACGCTTTTCTACACGTGCATTTAGCAGAAACGGTATACATGCATAAACCCATGGGCTTCCGAAATTCTTCTTATCCACATCATGTTTGCCGACTGAAAAAGTCCCTATACGGGTTGAAACAGGCACCTCGTGCATGGTACCAAAGATTTACAGATTATGTCACCACACTCGGATTTCGACATAGTGCTTGTGATCATTCCTTGTTCATCTACAACCATGGCAGGGATACAGCATATCTTCTTTTATATGTTGATGATATAGTTATTACCACATCATCACCGGCTCTATAACAACATCTTATGACTCGTCTATCCAACGAGTTTTCCATGAAGGACTTGGGCCACCTTAGCTATTTCTTGGGAATTTCAGTGAAGCGGGACCCAAAAGGTTTATTTTTATCACAACAGAAATATGACGTCGATATTCTTTTACGGGCAAATATGGCCCAATGTAATCCGGTACATACTCCTGTCGACACAGACGGGAAGCTCAGTAGCACCACAGGGGAATTGATTGCTGATCCCACTATTTATCGTAGTCTTGCTGGTGCCTTACAGTATCTCACGTTCACACGTCCAGATATTTCATACGTTGTACAACAAATTTGCATGCATATGCATGCTCCACGGACGTCACACATGAATGCTCTAAAACACATTCTAAGATACATTAAAGGCACAATTGACGTGGGATTATACTTGCATCGTAACACGACCTCCACTCTTACTGCTTATAGCGATGTTGATTGGGCCGGTTGTCCAGACACACGATGATCTACTTCTGGCTATTGTGTGTTTCTGGGTGACAACTTACTATCATGGTCATCCAAGCGTCAAACGCCCGTCTCCCGTTCTAGTGCTGAGGCAGAGTATAGAGGCGTCGCTAACGTTGTTGCAGAGGTTTGTTGGCTTAGAAACCTCCTTCTTGAACTTGGTCACCATCCGACACGCACGTCTCTAGTTTATTGTGACAACGTCAGCGCCATTTACATGTCGGGAAATCCAATTCAACATCAACGAACCAAACACATTGAAATTGATATACATTTCGTACGAGAGAAGGTTCAACGCGGTCAGGGTTTTACATGTCGCATCTCGCTACCAAATAGCTGATATATTCACCAAAGGGATACCACGAGTACTTTTTAACGACTTCAGATCCAGTCTAAGCATCCGTCATCCTCCTCCTTAGACTGAAGGGGTATATTAGACTAGGAAATTCATTATTGTAAACTATGTGGTACCAAAGTGTAAATTGTGTATCTATATATACATATTATTAATGCAATATACGGAGAGAGTTTTTTGGCCAAATTCCATTATAAACTTATTCTGGAATAATAAAACAAAGGTACGTACCACCCTTACTTATACTAATTCTAAAAGAGACCTACTCCAACACAAAAACTAGGAAAAACTTAATAAAAAATAAACTTTCCTATTTTACCATTTGAAGTTTTGAACTACAAATCCATATTTGACTCAAAGCGATTATCCCAACAGTGGCCAGAGCGATTACAGACAATGCAAATTCTAGGATTACATTACAACTTCACAACCAAAACTACTTTAACAAGAATACGAGCTGTCCCTCGTTACAGTTTTAGCATTGAAACCGTAGAAGGACTAAATACCATGCGTCCCACCATTGGCATCATGCCATCTGGCCTTCCATGGGCACTAAATAAAAATAAATCTTCTTGCGGTGTGAAGACAGTAGAGATGGTCTGGATCAGTCTTCCTTGATTTGGATACGGGAAATAGATATAGAAATAAAACTGAAAAACAGCATGATTACATCTACACAGTTGTGTATTCTGATCTTGTTTCACAGAGATAGTGGAGTTTGTTAAGTTCATATGCCCAACTCAAATGAAAGGTATTGTGTCTTCATCATCTTCTTATGTTGATCCTTGTTACCATCTTCGCCACATCTATGGAACATCGAGTTTATATGAAAAATATATGGTTGAGGAAGATAGGGAAAGAGTTAGAGGCAAATGTATGTCTGATGAAAAGTTAAAGAGAAAAAGGATCAAACATTATCATTCAAGCTTTTGTAAAAGTAGGGTCAGTTTGTTAAGAAGGTTTAAATGTGGTGTGAAGTTAAGTAATGAAGAGTATTGTGATGATTAAACTATGTACTGTTTGTGCTTAAATAGGTTAGTGACTGTAAATCTGTACTGTATATGTGCAACTTGGAAAAAGCGTATGGAAATAAAAAAATGAATATATTTGGACTTAAAAAATTTTGAGCAGTTATTTACGTTCTTAGAAATGGAATGGTTGGATCCTTCTACATGAGTTTATGACATGGTTGATTGGGCTTTTCTTCAGTCCTTTTTGGCATCCATGTCGGTTATGATCTGGTGGTTTGTGATGTGTGTTACATCGACATCTTTCTCTTTTAGCATTGATGGTGAGGTTCATGGTTTCTTCAAAGGGAAAAATGAGACATGGTATAAGCTTGGTTGGAACTGATGGAGATGACAAAGATGTCAAGTCCCACTAAGTAGAAAATTTAAGCTTGTATTTATACTGTTGGATATGACTTGTCCAACATATGAAAGGAATTGGAATGGAGAAGTATTATAAATTATATTGACTGACTTGTACAGTTATTATTCCAAGTGGGTTTAGCAAGTTAGACTACTATTTTTGTTGACTAGAAACCAATTAAGAACTTCACCTAAGGGCTCAAATGTGAGTTGTATAAAATCCAATCCTGGTGCTTTGTTTCTGCATATGATACAATACCTGTCATCTCTGTTTCTCTCTATATCTATATATATATATATATATATATATATATATATATATATATATATATATATATATATATATATATCTCACTTTCCAAACTTTTTACAAGTCATGTGCTTGTTCAAAGAAATAAGTATAGTGAGGTTTGTGGTCCTCCTGTATTTCACTTTATCCATCACCATCTCATCTGGAGCCAACACCATCTCTGCAAACCAGTCTCTGTCTGGAGACCATACAATCATATCCGAAGGTGAACAATTCGAGCTGGGTTTCTTCAAAGCAGGCAACTCTTCCAAGTATTACATAGGCATATGGTATTATAAGAAGCTCTATTTCAATCTTCCCACCATAGTTTGGGTGGCAAACAGAGAAACACCCATCTCTGATAGATTCCGTTCAGAATTAAAAATCATTGATGGTAATTTGGTGCTCTTGAATGAGTCCAAGTTCCAGATTTGGTCCACAAACGTCACCACCCCCACCACCACTTTGAAGTCTGCAATAGCTGTTCTTCGTGATGATGGTAACTTAGTTTTGAGTAACAGCTCCAATTCAGTTGAACCTATTTGGCAAAGTTTTGATCACCCAACGCATACTTGGTTGCCTGGTGCTAAATTTGGTTATGATAATAGAACAAAAAAGAACCAGGTTCTTACATCATGGAGAAGCAAAGACGATCCTGGTGTAGGACTCTTCTCTTTCGAGCTTCAACCGTCTAGTAATGAGTATGTAATCAAGTGGAATGGCTCCCACCAATATTGGATAAGTGGTGCATGGAATGGGAAAACATTTGACTTATTGCCTGAAATGAGGTTGAATTATATTTACAATTTCAGCTACCATACGAACGAGAATGAGAGTTACTTCACTTATTCTTTGTATAATCCTTCCATTATATCTAGAAATATAATGGATGTTTCTGGTCAAGTAAAGCAACTAACATGGTTGGAAGCTACCAAAGAGTGGAATTTATTTTGGTCTCAACCTAGAACGCAGTGTGAGGTCTATGCTTTGTGTGGGGCTTTTGGGAGTTGCAGCCAATCAGCATTACCTTTCTGTAGTTGCTTGACTGGCTTCAAGCCTAGATCTGAGAGTGATTGGAATCAGAGTGATTTTTCGGGTGGATGTGTACGAAAAACCGATTTACAGTGTGGGAGAAACGTGGAAAAGGCTGATTTTCTCAAGATTACAGTCAAGAGTTTGCCTCCAAATAAATCCATGGCAGTTGGGAGTGCTGGAGAATGTGGTACAACCTGTTTGAACAGTTGCTCATGTAATGCATACTTTTTTGTTGATAATCAGTGTTCGGTTTGGGATGGAGATCTCCTGAACCTCTCGGAAGACAATGATAGTGGGAAAACAATCTTTGTCAAAGTCGCTTCTAAAGATCTTCCACATCATAAAAAGACTAATTGGGTCACCGTGGGTGCTGTTGTTGGGTTTGTAGGAGGTGTGGTTTTTCTCTCGGGTCTAATTGTGCTTTTAATTTATAATAAAAAGAGGATATTGGTGGGTAAGACGAGAATGGAGGGATCATTGGTGTCATTTGTCTACAAAGATTTACAAATTGCCACAAAAAATTTCTCGGACAAATTAGGAGGAGGTGGTTTTGGCTCTGTTTTCAAGGGTGTACTGCGTGATTCATCAATTGTGGCAGTGAAAAAGCTGGAAAGCATCAGCCAAGGAGAGAAACAGTTCAGGAGCGAAGTCAGCACAATCGGTACGATCCAACATGTTAATCTTGTACGCCTTCGTGGGTTTTGTGCACAAGGTAACAATAAGCTGTTGGTGTATGATTACATGGCAAACAGTTCTCTGGACACCCATCTTTTCCATGGAAAACAAGTTTTAAACTGGGAAACAAGGTATCAGATTGCACTTGGAATTGCAAGAGGCTTGGTGTATCTACATGAGAAGTGCAGAGATTGTATCATTCACTGTGACATTAAGCCGGAAAACATTCTTTTAGATGCCGAATTCTGTCCAAAAATTGCAGATTTTGGTCTGGCAAAGCTTGTTGGTCGAGACTTTAGTAGGGTTTTGACGACTATAAGAGGGACACGAGGATATCTAGCACCAGAATGGTTATCAGGGGTGGCTGTCACAGCCAAAGCAGATGTTTTTAGCTATGGAATGATGCTTTTTGAATTAGTTAATGGTAAGCGAAATGCAGAGCAATCTGAAGATTCAAGGAGTCCATTCTTCCCTTGTTTAGTTTCTAATGTTCTGAAGGTGGGAGGTGATATCCTTAGCTTGGTGGACAGTAGGTTAAACAGGGAAGCTAGTGTTGAAGAAGTCTCGAAAATTTGCAAAGTTGCATGTTGGTGTATCCAAGATGAGGAAGACAGAAGGCCTTCAATGAGTTTGGTGGAACAGATCCTTGAAGGGGTTATGGATGTGAATATGCCTCCGATCCCTCGATCTGTCACGTTATTTGTTGATAACACCGAGCGTGTTGTTTTCTTCACCGAATCACCCTCAAAGGGGAGTTGAGAGGTATACATCAGTTGTTCCCCCCAGTCGAAGAGCTCCTCTTCTTGAAGATAATTATCTTTATTTAATCTGTTATATTCAAATAAATAGACATATATTGTATTGTACGTAATAGAAATATAAGAGTAATTGAATTTTTGTTGTAAGTGGATGTGGATCGATCATCATGACCTTTCAAACATGAGTTCGGTTTGGTAGTGAAGTTTGAATCGACTTGCTAAAAAGTATGGAAGTCATAATCTTGGAGATGAGTGGTTCTTATACTTCGTAGTGCGACCCTTCATTCACGTTGCATTTTGGTCAAAGTCACTATATGGACTTAATTTTTCTGAATGGTTTTCTTTTAAACAAAATAATTAGAAGGGTAATATTGTTTTTGTGTTGTATATATTTAGTCACCATTTTATTTTACTTTATTTTTTTTAATTTTTGTATATATATTTTTATTTTTTTTGCAAAATACAATGTTAATTCCACAGTCCGTCCTTATGACATGTTGCGGTAGGTTTCCGGCCAAAAGATGGATTTTATGGCGATTTTGGCATCTCCGACAGTATATGATTTTTCCGGCTATTATGTTCTTCCGGCCGATCTCCTGCGATTCTATTTTTCTGCTAGTCATCTTCTCTGACGATATATGGTTTTTTCAGCGAGCTTCATCTTCGTCTTCATATGAAAACATATATATCATAAAATTTCCAGCAATGCTGTTTGTGTTCTTGTTCACATTGCAACAAAAATACGCCTTTCAAGAAACTCTCACCGGAAACATATCCTTGATTGGCGCTGACTCACAAGAAATTTAAAATTATTTTATGAAAACATATGAAATGAAGATGAAGCTCACTGGAAAGACAAAATCGTCGGAGATTAATTGGACAAACAAAATCGTCGGAAAATCATATATCGTTGAAGAAGATGATCGGAGATCCGCCAGGGAGGCCAAAATCGTCGCAAAATCCATATTTTGGCTAGAAACCTACAACAATAGGTCATAAGGATGTAATGTGTACAAAACCAACAAATTAACCGCTGTATTTTGCAAAAAATAAAAAATAAAAATAAACAATAGTGACTAAATATGTATAAAACGAAAACAATATTACCTCTTAATTCTCTAATAAGTTTTCTAATGAAAGGTGGAACTCAGTCGACAACGTTTTCTTCTTCAAGGGTTGAAGATTAGCTTCCTCTCCAACCACCTTAAAATGTTGAAGATCTAGAAATCAAAACCCTTTTCCTATGGAAATGGAATGCCTATCAAATACACATAACACTTCTAGAAATCGAAATATGACCATAGTAGAAAGATCAACATGTGACCATACTACAAAATTATTGGTGATGTGTTGTTCGAGCATATCTTAGTTTTTTGGTTTATTTTGGAATTATATAGAAAATTTGTACACATATCTCCTAATTCTTGGTTAAATTTCAAACGGAGGTGACCGGTGGGTGGTGGTGGTGGTGGTGGTATAGGACAACAAGAAAAGGAGAGGAGGGAAGGAGGGCACTGTGAGATTGGACATGAGATGAACCTTAATATGTTGGGGTGGGTGTGGTCCTAATTTTCGTGTTTGTACCCTATATAAGCTTTTTGTTAGCCCCTTTGGTTCATTTGTAAGCTAGCCTCCATACTCTAAAAACCGTAATTCGACCCCTAGCCCATGTTTGGTGATCTTGAGCTTTTGTGAGGTTTTGTAGACCTAGAAGAAGAAGGAGAAGCTTGAAGACTTGTTCTTTGAAGGAAAGCTTTGAGATCGCGCATTAGCATCTCCTTTTGTTGGCTTAGGAGGTATAAAGTCCAAACCTTGCTTTTCATTTCATGGATCTTCTTCTTAGTTCATTTCTGGTGCACGCTTAGCGTACTAGTGGGTAAG